GCGATGCCTCGAACAACGTTCGCGCAGCGTTCGTTTCCGTTTCGCGGGCTTCCCGTGCCGCGAATCGACGATCAATTAGCGGAATCTTTGATCCACGCCGAAAGGAATATCCACGTCCTCGTGGAGAATTAACGATCCATCGGCACGACGACTCGCGTGCATCCGCGTACGCACACGCACACGCCGTTTCGGCTTCGTTTGTTCGCCAGACTGAAAGACGCGTTGCGATACGTAAACGCCACCTTCTCTGGATCGTGCCGGCTGATTTACGCGCGACAGGTCGTAACTCTTTGCCCGTTGAAAGCCAGGAAAAATCGGTGTTCCGGTGAGAGCGATCGAATCAGGAGGAACGATATAGTTCTGGTAATGATTTAGACGGGGGAAAATGGAATTCGTGAAGAAGCTAGAGAAAATAACTTGGAGATGTAAAGTATATTTTATGTTAACTGTTAACTTTTACCATGTAAAACGGAAATATTTATCGGTGCGGTTCCGAGATATCTCGATAAAGAATTTGAATCTATTTGAACTTGTAAGTTATCATTTTGAGGTCGGTAGGAGAGAAACTTTGATTTTCTACTGCGTTTGTGATAAACGATTTTAGATGGGACATACTTTTATGATGATACTATTATTGATAACGATATTATTTATGTTGATCTTTTATTTTGACACCTTTTTTAATCTTTGTTAAATTATTTAAGCGAGAAACTACTATCTTTGATCTAAATTTATGATTTAGATATGTAGCCAAATAGAAACGAGTGTTGTATCCTATTTCCTAATTGAATTCAATAAATTGTTAGAGTAGGATTTAATGAATGATATTGCTGAGAAGGACGTGATCCTATTATGAAATATTACATTGAAAATATCGGTGAGAATTTTCAATTGGGATTATAATATTCGAAGAATTTGGATACTTGAATTTAAAATTAAATCCAATTCTTCATTCGTCAAGAAAGAATTACAATTACACGAACATAGATCTTTTTTCCACATTTTTTGATGTTTTCCTTCATCGCAAAATTCCTTTTTCTTTGTCCATTTACAAACAATCTATCACCGAAGCAAAAAGCTTCTCAATTGTATGAGATATATCACATACATATGTATATCAGAAAAAATAAAATCAGCTCTTTTCCGCCGTTTCTCCTGGCTTGGATAAGGGAAGAGATATGACCTGATCTGATCATTCGTCTGCGTGAATCATTTTACGCAGCGTTTATTAATTTTGATATCGAATCCGTTCAATAAATCCGATTGAAATCGTATTTTTGTAACGCTGCCTCGTATCTCGGGATATCTCATCGGCAGTGATCTCCTTAATCAATTTTAGTACCTCAGCAAACATACCTTTAACTTTTGTTGGATCCTGTCTGTTTTATTTTTACCCCTTTCCTAATGTTTTATCCTTTTTTCATAACCTTTAAAGAGAAACCCGGGTTATTAAACATTCCACAAAAGCTTGAAGCTTCATTTCTGCGTTTCAAAATCTCCCCTCGTGCCCCAGCGAGTAAATTTTATTTATCATTCTCGTACAGCGAAGTATGCGAAGTTAATTATATTCGATTCGCTTTGCATGCAATTAAGAACGGTGGAGAAGAAGTAAAAAAATTACTTTTTTATTTATTATAGAACAAAAGAATGTTTTTAACAACAAAGCCTTTTGTATTTATTACAAAAATATAGTCCTTCCCTTTCGTACACCGTTTTAATCAAGAATTAATCAAGAATCGATGAATCAAGACTTGTAAACTTTCTCATAAAACAAGTACTCAAATTCTAAAACTTGAAAGTGACAAAGTAAAAACTTGAAAAAAGACCAAAAAATGAGGGCAACTCTCTTCGCAAATTTCGCCACTAAAACATCGAAATTTTCTATGTTCTTTGATTAAGTGCTCTAATTAATTATTCCTCGTTTCTGCCCAATTTTATTTCTTTCTCTTTGTTAACGATTCCACCTAGAACGAATTCGCGATTCTCGTCGATTATCGATAAACAGAAATATTTTCTCTAAATCCAGGAAAAGAAGGATGGACCAGTGTATAAGTTTTACGAGACCATCCGAGATTTCGGCGGCGAGATCATGAGCACCATCAGTCATCTTCGTGATGTCACCCTGTTCGCGCCTAGCAATGCTGCTCTTGAGGAACCTGGTGTACAGAAGATTCTGCAGAACAAGGAACGTGTGAAAGAGATCCTGAATCTTCACTATGTGAAGGAACGGCTGCCACTCGATAAAATCAAGAACAAAAGCGTTAGCCAGGTGAGTGATCTAATTTAACGAATTTCTAAGAAAAGTCTAGGGCCCGTTCTCAAAGATATGAGTGAAAGTTTCGAATCGCTTCGAGTGTCTGGGAATATTTCGGATATTTTCAGATATATACTACAAAGATACTAAGAAATATATAGAAGCTGAAAAATATTGGAAATTACATAGAGCTAAGAACTTTTAGAAATTTAAAGAAGTTTTATAGATTTCTAGAGAAATGATAATAGGTTAGAAAATAATAATTTTATGATGTAGATTTTGTTGGATGGTTTTATCGAAAATAGAGAAAACATGAGAGTCATTTTACATTAGAAATTATTATTCTATTTAATGATTGATACATTCGCTCCTATTAAAATATAATCTTTAACCATGTTTATTTTTCATTGAAGTTTTCAGCGAATGTGTTAATTGATAAGCACTCTTTTGTAAATACAAATATTTCACTGATTGAAATGATTGCATGCCAAAGTTTTACAGCTTATAATAAGATGTTTATCGTTTCATTGTTAAATGTTACCTTTAGTTTCGAATTATTAATTATGTTTTAAATGAATTTGAAGGAACAAATCAGTATTATGAAAAATTATCGTTGCTCATTATACTCGAGTTTCCTTATAATTCGGAAATAACTAATACTCAAAATTCATAAATTATACGATTCACTGAATCCTGTGAACTGGGATTTAGTTTAAATATTTTTTATTTCCTAGCATTAATTAAAAGAACTATGAAATATAGTACAGGCCTAAAGGTATCGCAGATAAAGACCATTAATTTCTCTAAATCGATAAAAATGTTATTCTGAACATAAATCAATAATTTTTTCAATTTTATTTCATAACAATTATATCAATTTTCATATATAATGTTACTTTATTACAAATGTTACTTTATTACATCTCTCCTTCTACTTAGAATTATCGAATTGCTTCCCTCTCTACTAATGTCTATTGATTTTAGATCAAATGACAGAATCAAATATCTTTTTAATTTTCAGTATCCATACTCACTCTAGCTTTGTTAACAAAGATCAATCTTCACATTATTTATCATTCAAACTTCTCGAATATTTGTTTTATTAAAAAATATTCTGAATCTTATTTCTTGATATTTGGAATATTATAAAAATTCTAAGATTTCTAAGAATTTGAGTAGATTTCTTAAAGATTATAATTAATAATAAAATAATAATTTCTTTAAAATTATAATTAGTAGTAAATTTTTATAAAATTTTACTATTAGAAGCGAATCGAAACTTCCTGCAACCAAGTTACAACTGCTAATCATTGTCATATTGTTCTAAAATATTGGCAAGGAGCTTATTTGTTAATTTTCCCCCAATAACACAAACAATTTTGATGCAAAGATTTTGTTTGTAAACGACGATATTATAATCTTTTTCATTGAAATTATGATTCTACACACGTGTGCGGTGGTTACAAATTGATTAACTCAATATTTCTCGGTTTTCTGTTTTCGTTTGAAGAAATCCTCGATCGGGAAGCCACACTTTGCGGTAATTACACATTTATTCTCTTTCAATGTTTTTGTTAGACTGTTCGTGAATTTTCTCTGCATCTTTTTCTCCTTTTGCAATTGTCTTGATTTACTTCTCAATGTTGACCTCAACTTGAAATCACATTCTGTGAAATATCGCTGTACACACTGTATTTATAGTCTGTGGGAACATTTGTTATTCGAAACGAAATTTTACTCCATAGCACGTAGTCGTAGTTACGTTATATTGAATTTCGATTATTCGTATTTGCTTTCCTACTGGACTTACTCGTTTACACCTTTGAAGCTGTGCAAAAATTCCTTTTTCAAACTGAATTGGCTACCCGAGATTATTGAAGGATAAATTGTGATATATTATTCAATAATATAATTTTTATTCTTTGATTTCTCTTCGTCTATGACTCATTTTATAATAATTTCATATTTCAGTTTTTTTTTCAACATAATATAATTGAAATATTATCGTCTACTAAATTTTATATTGAGTTTGTTTGGAATTATGTTATTTGCGATTAGAAAAAATACTTTAAGCAGACAATTCATTTTGAATATGGAATGGATACTAATCAGTGATAATTTCATCAAGTACTATCAAATATTGCTATATTATTGCGTGACGATAAAGACAAGTAGCATTTTAAATGAACTTTAAACCGTTAAAAAATTAGTATACAATCTTGTAATATGCAAGATATATATCTTCAAATTTATTTGCTTATATTTTTAATTTAGCTTTTTCTCATTTTCTTCTTGTTATTTAACTTCTTTGTCATTGCTATAGCCATTATTTTCAAATTTATTTTCATCCCTAATTGATACACAACAGACACGCTGAAGAATAGAAACATTTTGTTATCCGACGAAAAATCTTTTTCATAGTCATTGCTTCATAATGAACAGCTGAGAAACTAACAGGTGTTCTTGGTCAACTTTGAGGAAACTCGGAGAAGACTAACCTAAAGTGCGTTGTTATGATGTTAGGAGTCTCTTGGTCAAACTTTTACCTTTCAATCCACTTACAATTAATCCAGGCAAACCGGGAATCTTCTTATCGGATTCGACTAAGAAAGTTCGTTTTCATTTAACATCATTTCTCAAAACTTCTGGTTAACGTGCGATCAGCACTCGCTCTATCATCGTTCAGAAGATTACGCGAATGATCATTAATATTCTCTTGGAACAATTCATATTGTAACGAAATACAGAGTTATAGTATATATTACTCGCAGAAATTGCAAGGTTCTATATATTACTGACCGAATATTTTCCTGAGTTCTATTGCGAGTGAAATAAGTAAAGAATAACGGAGAAACGGATTTCTCGGACATGCGCTTATGAAGCAAGTTTTCTAAGACCTTACGAAAAAGAAAAGTTTTTCTAGAAGAAACAGCTCGAATAATGTCGTTACGAAATAACCTTTTAGGATAATCCTTAGATTTAGAAAATCTGTAAAGAAAATATTCGCTACTTAATAATGACTTTACTACCTTAATCCTATATCTAAGCTGTAAAAGTAAATTTTACTTCCATAAAATTTATCAGCCTATGAACTTTCATACAATTTATAAAATTTATTAATTTATGCACTATATTAGATTTCCTCTTAAAGAAACCTTATCACGAAAAAAGTATTAAATTTTGAATCATAAATATTGGCAAAGATGGCAAATTTTATTTTTCTACTTCTTGCATTTCAATGATCGTTTCCCCCTGAAAACGTATCTCCATTTCATATTACACGTGTTCTTGATATACAATATTTTAATTAAAAATTTTTGTAATCGAAAAAACGTGCGCATGTATTAAGTGCTTTTTAAAAAAACTACTAGACTTCGATCTATAATTAAACGATTTTTTATTTCGCGCGATTGAGTTACGACAGTTCCTCCTGAAAACGTGAAAAAATATGTTTTACAATGTAGCAAGAAAAATGAACGAGGAAAACGAAGAAACAGGAAACAAAAATCGTTTAATTAAAACGATACATCCTCAACGGAGTTGTATAAAAGAATAATTCCCGCGTAAATTCATACGTTTCACTTCTCTCTCTTTGAATAAATTTAAGCGACTTTATTTCTTTCATCGCGCATCGTTCGCGAATTCGCAGTTTGTTTACGCGTTTGTTTACAGGATGAATTTATAGGGCAATACAGAAGCGTTTTGCAAATCCGGGATGAAAAATCGCACTTTCGTTGGTACAATAAACGACTAAAAATACCGCGAAAAATACGATTCGAACTATAGTTCTGTTCATGGGAGTGCTCTCATAAGTGAAATATATATATATTTCGGAAATTTTACGTTTCTCCCGATCGCCATACTAATTACCATGATAATCCTGAATAGCGCTCTTGTAAAGCTATGCTTTCGATGTTATTTTTTAGTTCTTATCCATACGAAGTATTATTATTTAAATAATAATAGCATGAAAGAATTTTCAAAGAATATTTCGATAATATTAGTATTAAAATGTAGAAGATAAATATTGAAACCGGGACATTCCCCAGTTACTTTTAAAGTTTTTATTATAGTTTTATTACTTATCTAGCCTTCTCAAATATTTAAAACAACACGTGTTATAGCTAAAACAATTGTGTAGTTACTTTTTAATGTCTTAAGACATCAATCGTACGTAGGTTAAACCTGCTTGTAGTGTTTTGAGGTCATATGAGTGATATGAGTTCACACGTCGATGTAATATTTCATTTGCAATATCTTTTCCATCAATTTACATTATTCGATTTCATTTTTAGCAGAGTAATTATAAAAAACCATTCCAAGTATTTGTCCTACAGTTCGTCGTTATTTCTGCTTTCATCTACATTTATCTCTTCGAAAATGGTCACATCGAAATAACCAGAATTGGGTGGAAAATTTTCTGGAATTAAAACGTCCGTATCATACGCTACTTCGATATTGAAATATTTGAAGTTTAACAATTTATCGGTCATGCGGGATTTTATTCGTCGAACAACCGATATGTATCACGGCAGACGTGAAGTTTTAACGCTACACAGGGAAATCTCGTTACTCTCGATTAGAACAATTTACTCATTGTTTACAATAATTAATACAAGCACCGTAGGCAGTAAACGAGAACTGGCGGGGTCAATATCGAGAGAGACAGCTCGCTCGGTGCGTTGCTGATAAATATCGCGCGCATTACTGCGTCGATGCTGTTTAATAACCGGCAATTAGTGACTCGGCATTAGTACGCCTGTTTCGGCTTTTATCATAATCCCATTTGGACATTAATCCATGTGTCCGCCGAGACCTTCATTCTGCACAGCCTTTCTTATCAGTCTCTGTGAATTGATGGATTAATCTCTGACTCTATCTAGGTCATCCTATAAGTACAGTGTAACAACCCCCTTTTACACGAACAAAATTTTAGTAGTATCTGATTTAATAGAACTTTAGCTGAGCTCCTGTTACCTGAAATATCGTCCAGCGTCGATCCACTTATACGAACGTCTAACAATAAGATGTAAACAATAGCGTCGCGCATAATATGACACACTTTCATGCTTCGTAATCGATACGAGCTTGCAACGTTATTATGTATTTCAGAGCACGTGTTACGTGGAATTCTCTTATATGAACACCAATTTCTATTAACTGAACGAAAAATCATACATGGTAGGAAGAAATAAGTGGACTCATATTATATGAAGGACCTGGTTATATAAACCAACTTGTCTTCCGACGAATTCATATGAACGAAGTTCTACCGTGATACTTCTACATTCTTAATCATTATACATTTAACAAAATGATGAGTATATCACTTTATCGCTTAGCTTCACAACTACGTAAACGCAGATATATTATACGTAGGAATAGGTCAAAATTTGTTTAATTGCTTCCTCATTTGTATTTACAACGTATTTATATACGTCTTTATATACGTCTAATTTATATACAATAAATCGTCTGCCAATTTTCTTATCAATTGTAATTTCTTTCGTTTTGATAGATCTTCGGCTAAGTTACTCTGGCTCTCAGCTACGGAGTTATAATAATCTTTAACTTTTTATCTTTAATTATATATTCCGAAGATTTTCTAGATGATTGCAATCGTTATTCAACGCAATTGTTGTCAAACGTGTACTATTATTCGATTGATGAAGAGACGAAAATCAAACCTTTGTACGCGTCAATAGAATGTTAATTTACGAACAGGCAGAGGGATATAATTAAAGGCAGCGTTCCGTATCAGCGTACTGAATGATTCAGGCATGGATATTCAAACGTAATTAGCTATATCGGTGATTTCGTGTAATTGCATTCACAGATCAAATTCGACAGTCGCTAGCCAAGCTACAGATATCGCGACTTACGGAATATGCGAATTCGGAATAATACCCTGGATCATCCCGTTCAAATGTCATCCTGTACAAATTTTATTATATCACGTATTATTTACAGTTTGATCTGTTTATTGTTAAAGCAAATTATAATATTCGATCGATAAGGTAATTGTTATTAATATGGAGAATTTGACATCTTTCCCTTGTATGAAGACATTGATTGTATACGTAACTTATGTTTTCAATATTTCCTATTTCTTATAAATTTCCTTACGAGTCAAATGTATATTATTTCCCCTACAGTAATCTATGAAAGAAACTTTTTATGACTATATTATACGTGTTATTCAAAACATTTTGAAATTTCGTTAGCGATCAGATTTCTTTCAAATTTTGGTATCTTACATAGTCGTGTGTTATTATTATAATATATCTAATCATTATAATTAATAAAATGTTTTGTATAATACATCTATAAAATTACGCTGTGTCCTGAACCTAAAGGAACGATTGAAAAAAGACATCAGAAAATCTCTAATTTTGCCATTACACGGAGCCACAAGCCTGCGGTCTGACGCTACAAGTGCCATTTATTGCTTCGAAACAAACGCAGATTCAGCGGAATTACATTTCGCGGAACGACGACGAATAAATTAATTTGCGACAACGCACACGTGGTCGTGCTGCGAAAAAAAGAAGTCGTTTTATCTCGAACGCGTCGCGTTACCAAAGTTTGGTGTGTTTCTCTTCCGTGGTTGTTTTATCGTCTCATTGGGGTCTGGGACCGCGCGTCATAAAGCAGAAGAGCGACATAAAACATATCCGCGATAAATTGGCGTGAAAGCAGCGCCGTTTAATGCAAATCGGCCAACCTCCGTGAATAAAAACCCGGGGACATTTTGGCTGACCGTCCACGGCAACGATTAAAGGCGAAACAACGCTGCATCCGTAGGCTGTTTTATTGGCTTGTTCATTCCACTATTCTGTTGGTTATTTCCTTTTTTGGGGGGAATTTTTTGGGTAATGGCCTTTCGCAGATGAGATTCTTCAAGATATAAAAAGTTTTATTCAGTTCGATTCAGAACCCACATTGAACAGTTTCATAAATTGTAAAACAGAAGAATACGATGATGTTGCAGATGCTTAAATTTAACCTGGAATTTACTATTATTCGTGTCACTTTCTTGTAATAAATGAACTATGGAAGATTCTTTTTTGAGAATTGAACATTGAATCCGCTTACTTGTGTAACGAAATTGAGGAATCGAAAAAGTGGAGTTGGTCGGTTTAAGATCTATCGAATTTAACGTCTATCGAAATTGTGTTAAATCTTCTTAAACTGTATATTAGATACGCTGACTAAAAAATGGTATATGTTAAATAAAGAAATTTTATTAAATATACCTGCTATCGAATATACGCTAACTTCTCTCAGGGAAATGTTACAAGAGGAAGAATTTTGTCTTCGTATTTATTACTAAATTTTTGAGGGAAATAACGCTTCATCCTCGATCGATCAATAACGCCCATGTCATCGTTACTTAGCTAATTGCCAATTAAGAAGAACTGATGCTTCCTAAAGACAGATTGTATCTAACAGGTAGAAGATGACGAACTGGATTGCATGCTGCAAAAGACAGAGTATGAAACTTATTCTCACGTAAAGCTATTCTATTTGACGTCTATCAAAAACACTTTCTCGTTCTGATTTTCTCAATTATATTGTTTTTCATTATCTTTTTTTTATTATCTATGCAAATGAGTAACGTATGTGCAATAAATGAATCAATAAATTAATACAAATTTTAACGTAAAATCGGCGAACATGTTGCAAATTTTAATTGAGTTTCTAATCGGTGAACTACGATTAAAAGGCAGGTTACGTCCGCTTCGAATGGATATAACTCGATTAAAAAAAGCAGAATTGCGCTTAAGCGTACTAAATATCGAAGAGAGATAGAGCAAAATGAAGAATTGAAATCGGATGAAACGCGAGATGAAGAACGTGGAAAGTGCATGGATCCTGGCGGAATAAAAAGTAAAAGGCGGCCGAGTGATCTCGCGTAGAAAAAGGCTTATAGGAAAATTCTTTGCCAAAGAGGGGCGTGGATTTTCATGGAATTTATTCGATCTGATCTTTGAAGCCGCTAGTCTCGATAGTAGATGCATCTATATACGGATGCAGTAGCAGCAACTCAAGATCAGAAAAGTAACCGGAAGTGGTGCAGGGAGTACAAGTAGGAAAATTCATGAGAAAGGGATCAATCGGAAAAGGAATCACTACCCTTAAGCTCTCTCTTGCTCTTCGCCTCTCTCTTTCTTTTTATCCCTCTCCTATCTTGGAGTCTTTTTGCTTCTTTTTCTTCGTCGCTACCACTCTCATTAAACTTTCTACGAAAATGCCAGGACTCCAATGAGGAAACAAATTTTCAACTTTAAACGGGTATTCGCGGAAGCGTGAATTAAGACTGTCAAATGGTTTATAGACGGCGCCATTCCTTTTACAATAGCTTTCTGATTATACTTTATAGTTTGTAATAATTTGTATGTTTATCATATGATTATTATTTTATCTATCGCTGACATTCTCGTCTGTTTTTCATTGTCACAGTGAGTATAATAGAAATAACTAATTTCGTTTATGTGTGTACAGCAATTTTATTATTTATTTTCAATAAAACAATCTCCAGATTTGTACATGTATACGTTTATTATATATATTATATGTTTGACTGATTGTAAGAACTAGATTCTGTTAGATTCTATTAGACATTTAAAATAGATTTCTGTGAATTATCAGACGTAGGATTTCACGCATTGTTTACAAATAATAAAGCAATTTCACATTTATCGCAACATGCCAAATTGACTCAAAGAACAAAATGTGCATACAAATGTGAATTTGATCATATGGATTTTCACATACTTAAGTTCTAAATATTCGACTGAAAGAAAATTATTCCTTATTTGTTACTCGTATATTGTAAAAATCGTACAATATACTCTTAAAAAAGAAATCAAAATCTATAAAAGTATCAAGACCTATTAATTTAAATATTAAAAGACATTACATACTTTAGATCACTAATCTCTGCTTGAAATTATATATTCTTCCTCTTAACTGTCGTAAGTATACTAATAAATGCACACGCAACAAAGGAGACTTATTGCTAAGTGCCTAACAACGTTCCTTCTAATTCTCTTCTTTCTGGTCTGTGAGAAAGCTGCAAGTAGGAAAGCGTACATGAATTTAAACTCGGCCCTCGTCTTCCGCTGTAACTTGCAGTTAGATACGTACGAGTTCTTGTTTGCACGCGGCTGACTTTCAACCGTTCTTCGAATAAAATCGCCCCATCCACCTCACGGCTCTCTCGTTAATTATTAATTATTTGTCAAGTTCCTTTGACTTTGTTACCGTATTTAGATAATTCACGTATAGTACTTAAAAAAAGAAAAAAGAAACAGAATCTTGGTTATTTTTGACGAGATATAATTTAATTATGGATAAATCGATCTATAATGGCCTTTAAAAACGTTAGACCCTTTTCTAGTTTTTAGTCGATATTTATGTAAATTCATATTTAGAAATAAGTCTGCATTAAATGAAATTTTAATGAAGTGAAGTTAAACGTTTCGTTCTAGTATAACACAATGTAACTATGTATTGAAGCTCAATAAATAATTGAGTAGTGACATTATCAATATACTATAGTAAATAGCGAATTATTCGAAGAAACGGATTATTTATTTTCTCTTTCTATATTAATAGCTATATATAATATCGATGTTTCGATGTGTAGAGCATGCTGAGTATATTTTTGAGATTTTCTTTAAGATTCATCGTTCTTTTATAGGTTGCCACAGCAGCAGACAGGAAGAAGCTGTACTTCAATGTGGCTCAGGAACCAAGCGGAAACCAGATAGTGACCGTCGAAGGTGGTGGCGTGAACGCAACAGTGGTCACTGCAAATATCGCTGCTACCAATGGACTGATTCACATCATCGACAGAGTTCTTGGTGTGCCCTATACCAATGTGCTGGAAAAACTTAGAACCGACCCTATGCTCAAGTATGTTAATATCTTTGTAACACTCAATATACCTTCGAATTAAAATTGAAATATCTAGTAGAGCGAAAGTTTAAATTTCTTCAATGTGAACTTAGATATCTTTTAATAGTTTAATTAATTTTTATTTATTATATATCCTCTATTTTACGCGATAAATGCCATCGATGGTCTATCTCATGAAATATGAGATATAAATCAAAATGGACTGGTTTACATTAAGTAATTCATGTAACGCAAGTTACTGTGGATCATTTAGGACCTACCGATACTAATTGAGAGCTAAATAATGTTTTTTTTTTGACATCATTGATGATTGAGTGATTTCCTACTACAACCTATTAGGATTGAATTTTAGATCCCAATTCTATTTATGCAATTGTTTTGAACAGATATTTATATTAGGATATATATTAGAATTAATATTAGAGGATATGTAGCACAGAGAATTTTTTACAACAAAATTGATACAGTGAAGTAATCTATGAACTAATTTTATCTTCTCTGTCGTCGTTTACTACACTGGTATAGAACTGTAATTATACTAATTATATTCTTGTATATTTCATTAGAGGACCCATTTTGTAAATTAAATCGATTCTATCAATTATATCAGAAAGTACTTAAACGTGTATTCTAGAAAAGATCTTGTTTGTTCCGTCATACAAATAATTTTCATTTCAAAATAATTGATTTTAATTATTCCACTGTGTACTTCGAACTTCTTTTTGTCCTTAAATCTAATTAAAGCACATGAGAAATTTTCAGTCCAATTACCATTAACGTGCTTCGTTTAACTGATACAGTAAGTGGAGCTCTTATGTAAAGAATTGGGTGATTTTACCAATTACACGTCAATCTATTAAATTAGTACCGAATGCAATTTCATTCGATTTTCTATTGAAATCGCTTCTGCATTCAACCAGAATTGAATTATTCCCCAAAAAATGTTCAATTTATGCGTGTCAGTTCAAACGACGAATATACTCGTCATGCATCTCTCCTGTGACTTTCACGCATTTAAAACTGATTTTTTTTTCATAAAAAATTTGTTAAGTAAACTAAGACTTTCGTACAGTGTTGTACTTCAACTACGAAAGAGAAACAATTTGTATGGAAATTTGTATGTGTCCAACTATCGTGTGCATTACATGAAAAAACATTCTTTTCATGCACGAAACATGTATATTTCCATTTCCGGTAGATTGCTCTAATGAAACTGATTCCAAGTACATGTTCGAACTGTATGAATATTGCGCAACCAGATCCACCGTGATTTAATTCCCCTCTCGTTATTTCAATTATCGATGCATCGATAATGGAAAATCCAATTAAATGATATTCCAATAACCGATAAATAAACTTTCGCGACGCTAAAACCCCGTTAAATGAGTAAGCTTCCATAACTAAACATTTATGCGTTTGATGCTATTCGTATATGAAGCTGATCCGAACGATTTTCCACCGATCTAAAACTCTATGAATATCTGGTAAAACGTTTGTCACGCATCGAAGAAAGGGAAAATAGAAATCGTAGAAAAAGATCGTCGTTATCAACAAGCGTTTGCTAATTGTCAACGCGTATCACGTCTTTTATGGGCTATCAAAAATTTATGATAGTTGATGAACAAAAAATAGATGTATTTACATCGATATGTTACAAATTTTGAAATACTTGTAGTATCAGATATTGTGAAACACAAAATTGAAACAATTGAGCAAAATTATTAAATTTCAAATGAAATATAAATTACGTATAAAGCGTCAAATAATCAAACCTCCACTGCACCACGTTTCTCGAATCCGATAATTCAACGTAAAATTTCCGTCCAAGTAAATATAATTAATATATTACTTCAGCAGAGAAGTCGCTCTTTTTCTCTAACAATGAAAGTGTTAACTCAAACTCAGTAGCATCTGGAAACATCTGGCGAGACGAATTTATTAGTGTACGATATATTCGCTGGAAACGATGCAACATTATGAAGGGTAGGATGGCCACCAAGTATCCCATCTTGTTACATGGAAACGTTGAACAACCATTGCCCAGGAAACGATCGGTTATACGGTGCCTTTAATGCCATTAGCCCCTTTATACGATGGCTATCGTTATTCGATGCGGTGGATGGATGGTGATGTCAGCATTCCATCACCCCACACCATGATATCTAAACTGTAGACGAGAGAAGCCATTGATAGTAGTAGTTCTCCCTGGCTGTGCCTATACGTCACGTCTATACGTTTACGAATATCAAGATCCACTACATCGATTTGTTTGCCTCAACGTTCTACCCTTTTGCCACTCGCTGACTATCAGCTCTTGATTTACAAACTGTTTCAAAACGAATGATGCCATTCATGGGAACATGGAAGATTTCTCGATCTCTTCGATCGATCGTATTGTATGAACGCTTAGGTTGGTTCCTAAGAGGATCGTATGCCCCAGGCTACAGTTAACTGCTCTATTACTGTATGTGTCTTGAGGAAACGGATATGGTGGATCGAGTTCGAAAGCCACAATCGAGACCCACTTGTTTCTTTTATGGACTGTTTGGACGGGTAAGAGTGAAGACTCTAGGAGTTAAGGTCAAGAAGGGAGACACTTGCAGAGATGGGGATGTGTGAGATATCCTTCACTGTTGGCTGAAAGATTGTAATGTGAGATTCCCGTGATGATAGTTAATTAACCCCTTCAGGATCAAATTTTTGGGGAGTGAACGGAAATTTGTTCGATCAAAGAAGATCGATACATTTTTGAGATATTTTTATGTAGAGAGTATTATTCATGTGAAAATTATTACATATTATATATTATATATTATATATTATATTAATTATCTCCTCCAGAAAGGAACTCTTTGGGAGCATAAGAAAAATTTTGTTTTGTCAATTATCAATAATAAAAATATATTGTTTCTGGTTATCCTATGTAGGACGATAAATTTATTTTCATTACTACATTTATCGTTTACTTACGTATAACGTAAAGGCTCAGCCAAAATCATGGATATAGAAGAATAATCCTTTCTTCTTCTCTTTCTTAAAAATACCGTTTTATGAAATGTTTCTTAAAATGCTAGGAAGTAGAAGTATTTGTATCTTACATTGGTTTTCTTCCAATGTTGATTCATTTGTGTAAATCATAAATTTCTTCAATTTATTTTTTTATCTTTTTCAAGTTCCACCTACTTCCTTGGACAACGCATCGGATTCAACAGTCAGCTGAACGAAACGAGGACGCGTTTTACATACTTTGCCCCACGCGATTATGCCTGGAGTGTGTCTGCTATCAGTTACCCATCTACTACGAAAAAGATCTTCATGCCTGAATACAGCTATCATGTAAGTATTCTTATATGAAAATAAAATATTCTTATATTTAATAATTTAAAACAACTGCTACATTACGATAGATGAAAATAACTTTTATTATCATTCAAATACTTAAAACATTATACAAATACTATAAATTAAAGGAATAATAGAAGATTTACGAAGATTTCAAAATCACCTCTATTTTTTACATAATGCTACATAATATTTTATACTTAATGCATTTTCTTATTCCATATGAACCAGTATTGTAATATTTATATATCTCAATTTCAATTTCCCAAAGAAACATCCTTCTACCGAATTCTCATGTTATCAACGTATTAACGGTAGCAATCACTTCACAAAAATAATTCTCCAACTTCAATTTCCTATCAAGAAAAATCTATACTACAATATCTAACATGTAAATCTGCTTATAGGCGAGACAAATCTTAGAACGACACCTCGTGATAGCAGATGAGGCGTACACGATGGCGAAGCTAAGAGAGATGAAACACAACGAAACCTTCGTTCTTCCTGCAGCCAGAGACAGTCTGAAGCTTCGTGTCCGTGAAGCTGGCGAAAGTGAGTAAAGATAATCACTTCGTCTCAAAAAATAATCGTTTTGCATAAGCACTTTTGCAATTGCTCAGATATTCTTCAACTCAACGGTACACTCGACGTTTGTTTCGATTTATCCTTCTGTCAGTATTAAACGTAAATGTGTCCAGGTATCGTATATGTATCGTATTTTTTGTTCTTGCTCTTCTCGAAACGGATAAAACAAGAAAATAACGCTTTGTACTCACACGCTCCATGTTATGGGGCTTTTTCTGTTCATTTTCAAACCTGGTGCTATTTGGTTACATTTAGATGACACGTACGACGAAAACATGATCCGACCAAAAACTTTCGGTGAGTGAGTTCAGTCTTTAGACGTCGCCGATGAGCGACGACACGTGCTTTCACCAGTACGAGCTCTGCGCACATTTGTCAATTTTGTGAAGGGTTCCTCGCACTTTCACGCACTATGTTTAACGCGCGCACATTTTGATACGTATAATTTTAAAGAGAAAAATCTACTGGGTAGTAAATATAATGTATTTTCGATGTACGATAAATGTATAAACGTAAAGATCAAGCGATGACAGTCTGCCAAAAGTTTCTGGCGATCGCTTCCTACAAACGCGTCAATTTCATTGTCCAAATTTTATAATTCGATTCTATATTCTAATAAGTTGGGCTTATGTATGAATCGTTTTAAAACGAAGAATATATCGATAGTAGGAGTTTTGAAATTTTTTCATTTTGTTCATTTTCATTAACAACCATAAGTTTAATCAATTACAAACATTTATAGATCAGCTCCAATTCCATTCAGTTGAGACAGATCAGGGTTTCAATGATAGAAAAATTATCATCCTCAAGATATAATGAATTAGTGTGCAGTTTATTGCTACATCTATCTCATTCGTTAGACCTACAGTGACTTACTTGTGCTGAGCTTACCTAGAAATCTTTTGTGAATATATCATGTGTATTATACAAAACATTTTGAAATTGCGTTATAATGAGACACAACTATTATGATTATATAAGTAAAGTTTGAAGAAAATCTGAAAAAGAACACAAGAGATGCCAGATATTTACTGCAATTTATTGTCATTTTATTATACTTGAGTCAGTTATTCATTATATTCAACGAAAACATCTCTGACAGTAATTATACTTTTAAAACTATTATTCACATGTTGTACTAAATATTTTTGTGATTTCTGTAAAATATATACTTATACTAAACGTCTTGCATTTTCCATATATATTCTCGAATTTGTTTCAACCTTTGAAAATGCTCCAAAATATTTTCTGTGACATATATAATATATTCATAAAAGATTTTATAGTAATCTAGCGTAAGTTGAATAAATTTTTTACTAAAAAAGAATTCTTATTAAATGTGGTAGTAATGTTATGAAAGATAAAAATTGAAGAATAAAAGTCGACGAATAAAGATAGTTTCAAACGTTGACGTAACTTGTATCTGCATACTATTCTGAAAATTTTTTGAGTCACCTGCGTATTTGGAGCCGCAGATTTCGAAATGCACACATTTATCGTTTACACTGTTACAAAATACACGAACATTTGACAAAGGAAGACACAAAACGATTTTTTCAATATGACAAATTTGAACACGAGCCCACTATGTACGAGAGTCGTTTGATCACGTGTCCTCGTTCACATAATTACTAACACGTATTATAATCACATTTCATTTGCGTTAAAATCTGATCAAGTACGAGCGTTTCACGCAGTCTCAGTGCTTGAAAGGAATGCTTCCTTATGCTCAGCATATGTAGAACGCGCTTCTCTATTTCACAACTGTTCACGTTGTTAATGCTTCTGAATCGTACGCGTGCACGATGAGCGAAATACGTATCTGTATTTTTCAGCCATATTCGAATAAATCTAACTATCATCAACGTAGATAGACGCAGTCCTTATCTTTCTCTTGATGAACTTCTTACATTGTCTCTTTGGTTTTACTAAGGTAACAGGATGACTAAACTCGTTGTTGTGACAATTGTTGACGTTGTCGTGCTCGCTGTATGTAAAACAATTCATTGATAGATTGCTAATACAGTACATGCTTGTGTCTGTCGTGATTCTTGTTGGTGAACCTCTTTTCAATTCAATTTTTAATTCTTCCTTTAAGTGAGAAATTGTAGAATTGGTTTTTAAATATAGTAAATTTTTCGAATTTCGAAGATAGACAATCGGAAACTAGTACATTTCATTTTGAAATATAAATGTTGTATTACGTTAAATATAGTAGAAACATTAACAATATGAGAGTTTCTGTTATTTCTTGTTCTAATATTTGAAGTAAAGAAAATTAGATACGGATATGAAAGTTCACTCCCATGCGGTAGAATATTTTATGATGAGAAATAAGCGAAAATGACCGTCAAGACAATAAGAAAACGGGATGCCTGAGCTCGAGCTCACTCAAATTTTTCCAGTATTCATCGTTGTATTCTCGTCGTGTAATCATTTACCAGTAACAAAATAGTCGATTGAATCAACGTCAAAATTAATAACAATAGGCGTATTGAATTTTATAAATCGTGCTGGATATTGTAACATTTAATTGTTTGAACAATTTGCACAGTGAGTATTTTTATGATTTTACAGGAAAACAACTGACACACGCCATACATATTGCTTGTTATTCGCTTAAACAAGTCGATTAAGCTTGTTACAGTAAAAACGCAGGACTAGCTTCCGGCGTGAACACGATTAACCCATACAATCGTGTTCATCGTCACCGTCGTCGCTTTTTCTGTGAAAATATCGCTGATCGTACGAAAGCGTTCCTGCACATGTTAATGTCGAATTTCTTGTTTTATGTTCTCCGATTAAATATTCCGTCGAACAATTAGTACTTGATGTTTTTCTTTGAATTTTGTGGAAGTATAAGCCTGACAAGAATGAACAAGGATGAAAAATTATCATTAGGTTTACGAAAAAGGATAAGAAAATATAAGTAGAGAGGAACTAATTGGACAGCTAAGAAAGTTATTATCGCTGGATTTGATACTTTCATTCACGTAACCAAAGAAATCTAATCTACTTACTAAATATTGAAATGAGTATTTTACTTTGGATATTTCATATAATTTTGCATATTATATAGGTATATTCTGCACAAATGTCCAATTAATCCACAGATATTCACAGTCTAATTACCACGAGTCATAATTCTTCGATTCTAATGATGAAAGTTGGGATTTTAATGAATATTTGTCTTCCCCTTTTCAAGGATATATCATTTCCATTTTCCGTGGAAAATTATTTTCTCGTTATCTGGAATTTCGTGTTTGGAAGAGATTACACTTTTTCTTCGTTATTGTTTAATCTTCATTATTCAATAAATGCATAATTTTGAAATGCATAATGATAGAATATAATAGGAGAGTATAGAGTATTAATGTTATACCGCGAAAAAAATTAATGAATAAGAAAAGAGAAACGCAGGAGGTAATAAAACAACTCTGAAAATATCGCAACTTGGTCGTTATCCCGCTACTACGTATTCATTGTACTATGCATGCGAACAGGATATCAGTTTCGACGTAAATTTGTATTATGTCTATTTCGTACGAGAAAATACGAGAAGATGAGAAAAAGTTGCGGATCCGGGATAGATGGCGAACGGTTTTGCGCGAAATATATTGGCTGCCATTTCCTTTCACGACGATAAATGGACGTGACGAACGCGGAATAGAACGATATGGACACCTGTAAATTGTCCTCAACTGTAGTTATCTATCGTCTGTTTTAATTTACAAGCTTTTTGCGGCGAGCTTTCTGTGTCACATCCCGTTCTAAAGCAAACAGTTTGTTTGCCACAGATTCGCTTCAAAGGATTTCTATGTACGCTATTATACGAGTATAACCTTTCATTTGCGAAAAGATATTAGAAATGGAGAGATAGAAGCCACGCTTTTGATAAAAATTTCGTTATTTAATAATTACATTTGTTGATTAAGTAATCAGCTACTAAATTGAAGACACGTACTAATAAAATAGCTTGAGATACTTGACAATATTATTCACGTTTCTAAAATTATATATGTAAAATAATTTATAAGTAACAGATAACAAAACGATTTTATTTTGATGTAGAATTTATCTTTAAATAACTTATTATGAAATTGAAAATACATTATGATATTATTTCAAATATTTGGAAATATTCTTTCATGGCCAGCGTCAAGTATAAATTTTCTCTATGTCAGATTAAGAAATACCTTTTTCAAAACCATTATCTAATTTTACAACGCGATCGTTGGATATCTTCCAAATAAATAGTCTTATATAGATATAGACACGTCGTCTAAATAAATATTGAAGTTATTAAAAATTCCAAACAATTATCTATTCCTTCGCTAATAGTTTAGATAACAAAGACATCTTCCATAATAAAATTGATAAATTCTATATTCGATAAATGGTCGTGAAATCACAAAAAGAAAGAAAGAATAGATTCATCATAGCGCGATTCGATTTCGATACACGGTAATTTGGTGGCTTCCGGGGCACTCTCGGCGAGCTGAGGTCGACGAAGAACGTGCACAATTATGAGTCGAGACCGCAAGACGATTTATTATGCACCTTTCGACCACCATTTAAATGCAAATTCCTTGATTACCGCTGGTGCTAATTGCTACGTGCTTTGCTCGGTCATTCGCTTGGCCACGAATCGCGCGAATCACGAGAACGTTTTCTATTTGCAACGAATGTTACCGATGCAACGAATGGATGCGCAGAAAGAACACGAAAGGGGAGCGAAACACGTGGTAATATCGAAAGAAATAATGAAGCAAAGAGAGAAACAACAGAATAATTGAATCGGATAGAGGAACCATGAGCATAAAATTGCAGACGAAAGATACCTAATCGTATCTGGAAAAGGATGAAAATTGCTAACTTGAAAATGAAAGGAGCAAACGAGAGTCATCAGCCTGTTTATCGTATTTCTTTGAACGCTTCTCTTCTATTTTTTCTTTTTTTTTTTTACTGTTTTAAATTAATTTCTTTGCTTCTATGTTGATAACTTCATGATATTGCCGTGTTTTAATCATACAATTATAGATTTGCTGGAAATTTCATCTTCGTTTATAAATATCAAGATACATACTGGTCTCTTATAAAACACACCTCTCAGTTAGAAAATGCAATGAAGTTTGTAAAAATTTGAATCTCATTTGTGAAATCATTTGTGGAATTTATTGCATGGAACCAGGAAGATAACAAATACCTTGGAAGATCTAATAATTTATGTACCAAAATTAATTAATTAAAACAGCGATTGAATAAAAAATACATACAAGAAAAAAATCAATGCTTTCAGATTTATTTCATTTTCTATAAGCGTTCTAGTGCGTATGAACACGGCTGAATATCTTATTTGAAAAAATGTTACAAATGATTCTCGATCTTCTTAATTGTATCGTTGAAATAACCATTTATTATTTAACAACCTCAATATAAAATTTACAAAACGTCTGCATCGAATGATATTCACAACACTACGCATATATATATGATAATCACATTTCTCAAGCTTTTTCAGATCGACTGCTACTCGTAACACACACGATTTTCCAACAAACGATAGATTAATTTAACTTCCAGTCAGTTAATCACCAAACGAAATGCTACACACTTTGAAACGCGAAAGATATCTTAATTTAAACAAAAAATAAAAAAAGAAAAAATACAACAGTTAACGAAATACCAAGTGTATAACTTTCTGAATATTTGCTACATGCATTTTGCGTCTTCGTGTTCCATAGATTGAAAACTTGACGTTCAAATGTAATTTAGTGACGCCGGACTTCATGCTCGACAAGTGAACGCTCACTGGAAATTTTCTATCGCTGCAAACATCACAACTCGCTTCGTTCATCTAATCTATCGATCCAGCTTTGTAAGTGAATATCGACACAACTTATCGATGGAAATCGTTTCTCTTTGCAGGTTACCAGATCGAGTGGGAGGGTACATGGATTCGAGTGTTTCGTCCGGACGTCGAGTGCACCAACGGTATCATCCACGTAATCGACGCAGTCTTACTGAAGGACAGCGACATCAGGGTGACCGGAACCGCGTCGATCAGTAGCCTCGCATCACACTTGATCATGATCCTGGTAGCCAAGTGGCTGCTTTAAGGACGAATCTCCTCTAAGTTTGTCATAGGTGCACCTAGGAATTTATTTCGGGACCGTCTCCGATCGTCCTCGTCCAAGAAAACGCAATGCACGAGATCCGGATTCGAACTTCGAACTTGAACTCTGAACTCTTTGAAGGAAGTTGTTTTGAACGCGTGTTCGTTAGAGTCGATGATATCGGTCCTCGAACGACTCTGTTCTCGGATATTCATAGAGATGGTCTGCGATCTCTCAAGTGTCGCTGCGTAAACTGTGTTCGAGGGGTTTTGGCTTTCGCCTCGCTTTTAATGGAAAAAGAATAAAGGCCCCCTTATATGTGTTCCCCGTGAAGAAACCGAGGCACGATCGATGGATCGGGGACGATCCTGAATGCGAAGCGACTCCAGGTCGAGACTCTTGACCTGATCTACAAGAGAAGATGCCATGGTTTCTGTCTCGATCAGACAAGAACCTAATCGATCGATAAGCAACGTGGGCGAAGCTTAAACAGGAACCATACTATTTAGCAGTTTCAAAGTTAAATTATCGTCGTCAGTAATGGTTCGCTACGAACGTGCAGGTGTTATTACGTAACTATAGAGATTCTTTTGATTTGAAGTTTTATCGTATCGATAGGAACCGTCAGGTGTCTCGTGCGCGCGCTCGTATGCCCCAGGAAGTCTAACACGAGAGTCTTCGAGGACCTCGCACGAATAAAATACAGAAGAGAAAATATTTCAACGGCGACGATCGCGCGGCGAGGCAATTTCGCGAGTTAGAGGCGCCATTGATCGTACCAAATGATAAATTAACCGTACCAACCAAGTAAGTAATTTAGAGAAAACTTTACGAACGAGAAAGAACGAACGTGAAGATAGAGCAGACATTTCGGGGAACTTTCTTCGAGTACAAGGGCAACGAGAGTTGGCCTTTTCTAGAGCAATTCTATTCAATTTCTCGTTAGGCTGGCAGAGAAGAGCACATTTCTTCTTGTTTTATTTTACTCGATTCAAGTTACCATGCTGGCGTTCCTCTTTTCTGAACGACCTAGGATTACGACCATACGAAAGTTCAACCAAACTGTGGAGGATCCAATTGTTCTTTCTATACCGATATTTTAGAAGAAACGCAGGTATAAGGATAATATATTCCTAGCGCGTCACGCGTCTAACGTCGGTTTAGATCGAACGCCGTTGATCATTCAGGCCATAAAACTTTTTCGTACAACATACGACTCGCCTAATTATGGTACTTCGATTTCATTAACGATGATACGCTATAGTTCTGTGTGTATGTATGTATGAACGTCATTTCTCATGGCGCATGAATCATGCGGCGAGGTACACGAGTCGTCACCTTGTCGACATCGTCGAAGAATTAAATGAAAATTGGTTCTATGAAAACTCTGTCGATGTACATAACATAGGTAAAGCTAAGCTTGTCCTAAACTCTGCAATACTATCTATACGCAGATCTTAATTAATCAATACTACATTGAGAAATTGTCTGCTCCAACCATTAACAGAAGAAAATCAAAAACAGAAGGAAGTGTAGTAGGATTTCATTTTTCTGAATCCGTTTGGTTCAAACAGTTCATATAATAGGACTTCGATGATTTTTTAATAATTATGACCTTTCATGTGAAAGAATTTTACACTCTCAGATAAATAGGTTCAAACAGCAGTTAATTTAGTTCAGGTATATCGATCAAAGAAAGAGTGATTGGACGATTGATATTATATTTTACTTCGAAATGAGTTATCATTTTTTTGGAAAGTAGATAACAACAAGTATAAAAATTTAATTCGCGTATTTAATTTACACCTCGAGTTTGAAAAATTATATTATATATCGATACTACGTATTAATATCATTAATTATGTACTAATTAAAATTTTTTCTAATAAATATAACAAGAATTCCATTATAGATACAAATGTACTAATAAAATAATTTTCGTCTCTCCAAATCAAAAAATTATTCGAAAACATGAACAAGTCATCGTGTTATAAAAATAGTTAAAAAAAGAAAAAATAAGCTGAGCGAAGAATGCAGTATCCCACTATAGTACTCCAGAGTTAGAAATCCTCTTGACCCAAAAAACGAAACTTTGAAACGATAATTGGGCATCGTTAACTTTCGACGCGTGGTTTTGCGCCTTAGTTGTGATTTTCAATTACACTTGCTCTCTGTATCATATCGTATTACACTGTTTACTTACTAATAATACTGCCACGTCTTATTGCAAGCCGAATTTTACTTGCAAACGAGTTTTTGTACAATTATCCTTAAAAGAAACGGGAGCTTTGCCCATTAGAAGTGACTCGATCACATTCCGACATTCTGCAGGTTATTTGAACGAATCTTTGCATTTAAAGAGAAATTTTCAAGGCGAATTTGTTTCTTGCTTAACGCATTCGCTGCTACCGATGCATATTTATATTGCGTCACTTATTGAATTAGATTTTAATTGTAAATAATTTTGCTGACAAAGCTATTCGGTTTTTAAATTTGTGCCTTTTCATAAATGAACAGACTGTAAGAGACAGTGAATTAAAGAAAATGTCACTATTTGAAATAATTATAGTAGCAGTGAATGTATTAATATGTTACTTGTGCTTGGACTGGGTAATTAATTATTACCATGCAAGTTCAAGTGGAACCAAAGTTCTTTTTGTTACCATACTCAATGCTTGGCATCAATTAAGAGTTAAACGTGCGATTTTATTCGAAGCATTATTCGAGAAATATTACAAATATTTTCAAAACATTAATTGTATGGAAACAAATGCAGTAATTGTACAAGCATAGGAATCATATGGCAGACGAAGCCTTTGTCTTGTTACTTTTCTGATTTATGCGAGAATTCGTTTAAGCAGACTGCATAACACGTAAAATACTCATTCAGAAACTTTTTTTTTATCGACTGTACAGTGCTATATATATATATATCTATACATATATATTATATAGAATCATCTGTGTCATTGCACCGTGTCACAATAATGTCGTAACCGAGATTATTCCCGGATTTGTATTTTGTTTCGACTAACGTATCTCAGTTTAATCTTCTGCTACTTTATACCTTTCTTTTTACTTTATACTAATATTATATACAATAACAATTCCTACTATACGTAACTGTATAATAATTATATGTAATTAATTAATTTGAATCTAGTGAGTAGTTTAATTTTTAAACTCCGTAATCTCACTTGAACTGATATACACATATGAGATAGCGAAAGGTTAAACTGTAGACTCGTAATCAAAAATCAAGAAACAAAGCCGAAAGATTATTAGCAAATGACACATCACAGTTTCATTCCACGATTAGTAAGAGCTTAGCTATGTGTGTACAAGTAATTACAAAAATCGCGCGTGTCTGTTAAAAACAGAGAATAGATACAATCTATGAGAATCATTAGAGGTCAGTCAGATAAAAGACGAGAGAACCTGAGTATTCGAAGGTGAAGAAAGAAACGCCTCGGAATTTCGTTTCTTCATAGAGAATAAAATATTGCGACGAAAATAGGGCAGGGGGATAAACAAATAAAATAGCGAAAAGTGTCGTTCAGTAATCGAAACGCCGAAACTAAAAATGGATGAAAAACAATGAACGATCGGATCGGACTCTGTCGGGTTTCCGGTCGTTTCACGCGCGTTAGTTAGAAAGAAGGAAAAGAGAACACAACAGAAAAAGAAATAAGAGAAGGCAGAAGACTTGTAATTAAGAAATCATTCAGCTACCGCAATTCTCTTCGCGAAAATGAAATAAAGAAAAAAAAAACGGATTAATAGAAGAATTCGATGTTATACGTGTTGATATCAGTCTATACATATATATGAAAAAAGTAAATAAATATATAAATATAAATATATAATAAACAGAGAGATATATTGACGAGGAAAGAAAGTACGATTGATAAAAGACGAGAAGAAACTGAGAGAAAAAAGAGAAAATAACAGAAATACTATCAAACGATACCTTAAAACTTGTTGTTGGGATGAATTGATATTATGAATTATTAATTATTATTATTATTATTATTACATATATAAATATACATAAACTCTAAATAAACACTGTTTGTTCGTTAGACGAGAACTTAAGATTGAAAAGTAAAAAAAAATGGATAAAAAAAATAGTAAAACTCTATTTCTTCGTGTAGATGCGTCTTTAATATTCAGCTTGTTCAAGCGTAACGCCGAACTGAAAATCGCATATTCGCAGCTGTGTCTGGGTTGTGAATGGTGTGAATGGAAATGCGAGAGACGGAATTTCGAAAGGAAATGTCGTCACACGGAACTCCGAAAAAGTATCACATACAGGAGAAAAACAGCATATCCGACGTACCCTTCTATTGTTTCTCCCGACGTACTTTTCTTTTCCTCTTAACGGAACTCGGCGAACCCGTTTTCGTATCGTTTTTACGATTCGTACATTATCGTCCGTATATTTTTTGGCAGTTGATACAATTTAGTCGAAAAATATTATGATATTTTAAAGTTATAATTGAAGAACATTTGTCTTCTATTAATTCCTTACGTCGTGCCACAACTGAAATTTTAATTTGTCAATTGAGCAGACGAGTTAGCTCGTTACTCGGATTCCTAATCTGTTGAAGTAAAAATTAAGACATTCGTCGCTTATTGAATAAGATACTGAATTATTTTATTTTCTAATTTGAAAGTATCCGAATACTTATGGACAGTAATGTATGTCATTTAAACGCGAAAATGTGACGAATATCCTGGCTAACTCTGAACATATACGATAAATCTTGCGAATCGAAATAATGAGAAATCGTGGATCGTTAAAGGGAAATAATCAAATAAAGAAGTCGAACCGAGCGAATACGCTCGAGATTTGTAGACTCAGTTGCATATCCAAACACACAGCACACACGCCTCTCAGCTCGCTTTTGTCAGTTTTGCTATAAAAAAGATCGAAGAATTCCGAAATGGATTGAAACACGTATGTCAAAAGTAGCGGTATATCGGACAATTGTACAGTTCGACGAAGATGTTTCTCGTGGTTTAAAAAATCTCGAGAATATCTCGTTTGAAGCATTGTTGCTATTTGAAAGGGATCTTTTAATTTTAGACAGGATGAAATTTTTGGTACTAAGTAATTGTACAATCGTCATAAAGCACGTGATACGAGTAATAATACATATTAGGAAAGACAGTTATACAAAGTAATAACTGTTTTGTTATTTAAAAAGAATCATGTCTTGATCATAAGGATCATCAAATTAAAATTTAATGTAACATAATGATTGGTAAATGTGGTAAATTATAGGCATTTAAATCAAATTTAACTCATATCAGAGTTTCGTTGGAAATCTCTTTGTCCTTACATAGACGTCTTTCTTCTCATTAGTCCTCATTTTGTTAGTTTTTCATCGTATCTTTTATAACACGTTTAATACCTAAATTTCGATACTTGAAAATCGTATCCGAATATGAAAAAGATTGAATTACTCATTAAAGTAATAAAGTGATAAAAAAAAGTATATATCAATTACGAATAATTAAAAATACTCGACTCATCAAAATCATACTTCGATTCCAAAAAACTTGGAAAAGAAAGAAGAATTTAGAAACTTCTTTAATATCCTCAAAGTGCCATTTATATCACATTAAAAACAGACGACTTTTTTCACAGTACAGCGTACTGAAAGAACGTAGTTATATTCTGTTCTACGTTCATAAAATCTCAGAGCTTGAGCAAAAATTGATAAAACTTGAAATCATCGCGTTTCAAATACACGATATATATGAATGAATTTCTTCAATTTATAGATAAGTACGAGAAAGTTGAATTGTTCGCAATTAGTTAAACACTCATCGAGAATCTCGTATATATATACTTTAATCCTTGACCAAAGAAGTAGGCGTGTAAAGCGATCGACGATTCATTTTTCTCGCGTACCTCGATTAATTAATTAGATTCATTCCTCGTGTGATAATTAATCGTTAAATTCTTTGAAAAAAAACATCGTTTTGCGTGACTATTGGTACATTTTGTAGATATATCTACTATGTACACTTCAGTAACAGGGAAAAATACCATTGCACCATTGCGTTTGGTGGTCGAATTAAGTCGCATTTCTAACACGATACGTTCCCAAAGATTCGTTTCCATCGGCTCTTATCTTCTCGTTTATTTCAGATTCGTTCGTTCGTGATCTGATTCTTCCGATGAGTCGAAAATCAACATCTGTTCGAGCTTAATCGTAGAATGTGTGTTCATAAAGGGGATTCAGTCGTGGCGAGGAAAAAAGATTCGAAAGCATGTTAAAATATTTTTCGTCGAGAACATTTAAGAAAATGAACTTTTTTCTGAAATTATTACTTCGTTTGTAAAT